CAGTTGAAGTCTCCTGAAACCCGTGACTGATGCATCATTTCCCTAGTTAAAAATCCTGAGCAGGTCCCCCTCGACATTCCATCAAATATGCACATCAGGTATGAAGAACCCCCCCAGTCTGGCTCCAACCCACCTTTCAGACCTTATCTTCTACCGTTGCCTTACACATACCACGTGGGTCCAAGAACTCACTAGTAATCTTTGATCTCTAAAGCAGCTCGATCCTCCTTGGCCATGTGCTTGTCATGATTCTGCCACCTCCTTGGCCATGTGCTTGTCATGATTCTGCCACCGATCCTTTTGGGTCTTAGGGGAAGGACACCTCTGTCATTGCGCCCTTCCTGAGCCCAGTGGAAAAATATCTCCCCTCTCTGCCTTTGCAGAAGGGCAGGTTTATCACAGGACGTGAGGCACTTCTCATAATGCAGTCACCCACCATAAAAGAAAGTGCCCTAGACTCTATCATCAGAGGACCGGAGGCCTGGGACACCAGAGCATCCTTCAGGGGAACGAGCCCCTGGAGACCAACTGAGACACCATGCTTTGTTGGGCCTACACTTTGAGCCAACACTTAAAAATGTGGCCGTTTCACATAAAAATCCTGACGTGGGTACCTCTTGAAAAAGAGACGGCAGATTCCTTTTCCAAGAGGCCTCCCTCACCTAAATTAGTCTAAATTAGTCTGCCCTAGTCATTCTATATTAACATGGGCCCATATTATTTTCTTCATGCGTTCTGCCAGAAGTGTTCATTTTAAGTTATTTGTTCCTCTTGTGTTTCCTCCCTCCAGAATTCCTTCTCTGAGAGGGAGGAGAATGTGGATGTCTTGTTCAAAGCTATCCTCAACACCCTGTCCATCACAGGGGTACTTAGTAGCCACTCAAGACATGTGCTGAATAAATGAATGGATGCGGCCTCCATGGACTCACATCCTTGAAGGGCACTCACAGATTATAGCACAGATGAGGTTGCCCAGGGAAGGATCTTGCCCAACTGGTCTTCCTGGGCCAGATATGAAATCCCCAGGTTGCAAGATGTGCAAACTGCACACCATCCCCCAACACACGCACAAAGTATATTTATTCATTCTCATGGTCTCTTCCTTACCTGACTGGCTCTAGAAACAACTGGGCAGGTTACCCCTGATCTAACCCAACTCCAAGATTCAACAACGTAGAATTCTGCCCAGACCAAGGTCATTAGATTCATTCAGGCATTTCACAAATACTTGGTTCTAAGTGCTAGGAATACAGCATGAAGGAAACAGAAGGACCTGGCCCTCATGGACCTGACCTTCTGGAGGGGGAATGGATGCATAAGAATTCAGGAATTTTTGTAACTGCAGACCACTGGCCTTCAGCCTGCCCAAGCCTTCTTGAGCTCCAAGACCCTGGTCAAAGGCCACCTCCTTGGAGCGGTCTTCCTGGTATGCCAGCCTTGACCAAGCTTCCTCAATGCTGACTTTCACTTATTACTCAGAGTAACTATAAGCTATTCTATACTTAGCATTACACTTTTATTGTTATTCATCTTAGGCTCCATGAGGCAATATAAATTCTCTTTCCTAACTTTCACGTTCCCTACCGCTCAGAAACCACAGCTGACACTTGAATACTTGTTGAGCAACTGGAGACAGGGAGCCACTTAGGTCCCCTAATCTGGTATGGGGACCTGTGAAGCCACTGAACCACTGCAGTAGTTTCTAGAATGCATATTTTACTCAGAAATCTAGGGGGCCAAGGTTAATACCTGACTACTAGATAATTAACACGTTACAAATTAGAGAAACAGGAACTGGTTATGGAATGAGAAGGCAAAATGCACATGAATTTCTTCATGTAAGCTTGTTGGTAGGCAGCCTTAGGCATACTTCTTACTGGGTGGGTAACCTTGGGTAAGTTAATGAACCACCTTGAGCCTGTGTTTCAGGATCTGTGAAAGGGGATGAGAGTAGTAGAACAGATGTCTCTATCTATTGAAGCTGTTGTTAAGGATTGAGAACATTAATGTGTATGAGTGCTTAACACAGTGCCTGGCACATAAATGCTCAAAGCATGTTAGCTGCCCTTCTTGAGTTCAAGAATCTCTCTCCTCTATGTGTTAACACATCTCCAGCACTTAGTGGAAAAAAATCTGTGGCAAGACTTGGGGCTTCCATTAAGGGTCTTAGCTCACTGCCAGGATGATCAATAACAGAAGGCAAGGACAAGCCAAGGAGTTAAACGTTACAGACGCAAAATGGGAAACATTCTTTTCAATGAGCCGCTGCCACTTATCTCTTCTCCTAGAAGAGAATCTTCTGCTGCCTCAGTTTCTTCATCTGTATAATAGGGATGGAGCCGCCTTTCCTGCCTGCAAGACTGTAGTGAAATCCTGGACCTGATAGCACTTTATAAACTCATGAGCACAATGCAGTTTCGTTACTGCTTACGACCATGGGTTCTGGACAATTTAAGGTGAGTGACCTTGGACAAGTAAACATCTGACCTCAGTCTCCCATGGGATTGTAGTGGGGAATAAGTGAAACAATGTAAAGAATTTGGGGACTAACAAGAGGGCCCAAATATTGAGAGTTATTATTGTGGTCATTAACCTATTTATTGGCCTCCTCAACCCCAAGAGTCAGGTGAAAGTCTGCTATAGAGACACCGACACTTTGCCCAGGAACTGGGCTCTCTTGCTGGTGGACCTTGGGCAAGTAACGACCCTCTCCAAACTTTGGATTTCCATGGTCACAAAATGAGAGCATTGCAAGAGAGAATCCCTGGGCTCCAACCAGCTCTTCCACTCCGCTGTTAAGGTCGCCTGAACAAAGGCTACCCTACCCGCTCCCCCGCCTGTCCCCGAAGGGCCACAGCTCAAAATTCTTGCTGCCCAATTCCCTTTGCAGCGCGATAGCAGGAGCGCCCGAGTCTCCACGCGGGAGAGAAGCGTCCATACTCTGCCGCCACCGCTCGCTTCATCAGCAACTTGCTTCCGCAGGCGCTCCCTGCCCAAAGTTTCCCAGAGCGCCAGGAGACCTGGCAGCGGGTCACGCCCTGGGGGGACCAGAGATGAGAGCGCGGAACCTGAGGACCCTGTTTCGGTAATCCCAAAGCCGCCCCCGCGGCCGGGCGGGGAGTGACAGGTGCGACGCCGAGCTGCGGGCGACTGGAGTGCGGGACCTCGCGCGGCGCGTGTAGGTGCGCGAGGGAGGCGGCGGCCGCGCGCTCTCCTCCGGCCGCTCCCGCTGGGCGCTCGCGACGCCCCCAGCTACACGCTCCCGGCCCCACGACCCCCGCTCCGCTTCCGGACACGCGGCACCGCAGAACCGAGGGGCCGGGTGGGGACCCAAACCCGCAGCGCTCCGAACGGTTGGGTTCCGCCGGGCAGACCGCGCGTGCCGATTCTTCCCGCGCGAGCCAGGGCTGAGGGGGGTGGGCGCAGGCGCGCCCGCGCGCTGCCGTAACCCCTTCCTCCCCGCGCGCCCCCGCACTCCCACCCACCCACCTACCACTCACCGTCGATGTCCCCCAGGGTCAGCTCGTCGCCCAGCTCTGTGAGCGTCTCCATGGTCTCCAGACCTCCCAGCTCGCCGCTCTCGTCCATCGCCCAGCTCGGCGCGGAGGCCCCCCTTCCGTCCCGCTCAGGGAGACGCGGGGGCGGTGCCGCCGCCACCGCCCATGACACCCGACAGCCCCCTCCCGTGTACCGCCTCACCGGCCGGTGCCAGCCGCCGCCATGTTTGCGCCGCGCGGGAGGGGCGGGGCGGGATTCCCCCGCCCCAACCCGCGCCCTCCGCGGCCCCGCCTCCAGGCCGCGCGCCCCCTTGTTTGTTGTCAATGGGACCAGGGTGGTCGTGGCCAATCAACGCGCGAAGCGGCGCGTGGGGTGATGGCGCGTCAACGATCAGCAGCTCAGATTTGCATAGTGAGGCCCCGCCCCGCGAGGGCTCGCAGCAAATGCGGAGAGAAGCCTCCCGGTCCTCAGCCCAACCTTCCTCCCTTTGCTTAAAGGCGCCGCTCCGTTTTCAGTTGCGTCTGCCTCTGCAAACTAGTCCATCTACCGGCTGGGGGTGGAAGGGTTAACACCCTCCACCCCCGCTTGCGGGTCGCCCCCTGAGCGCGCTGTGAGCACATTACGTCATCTTCTCAGCCGCTTCCCCCGCCCAGCCTGCCTGGGAGAGCGGGTAGAATCAAACCTGGCCCCCAACGCTGGGGCCCGGAGGAGTCTCGATCACTCAAGTAGCGTTCCTAGGAAGCCGCTTGCGAAGGCGGAAATGGGAGGTTTGGCGTGGGCAGTGAGTTGTCCCAAGTGCGGAGCGCATTTTACCTCTGCGCCTTTGCACCTGCCGCGACCAAGCGCTTACTCCGACGGTCCTCACCCTAGGTCCCCCCGAACCCCCTGCAGACTTTTAAAGCAATGCTACAGCCGGAGACCCACCGCAGGCCTCCTAAGGTGTGACCTAGGCTTGAGCGTTTTGACCGCGCCGCAGGGATTCCGACTTGCAGGCCCGCCCACCAGCTCCCACTGCTTCGAGCACCTCACTGCCCCACCTTGCAGCTGGTCTCCACGTAACCAAATGTGCAGACTAGTAGGAATTTATCCTACGGAATGAAAGCATGAATGCTCAAAGAAGGGCGCAAATATGCAAGTTCAAAGACGTTCACCACAAAGTTCTCTGTAACTGGGGCAAGTATTGGGAAGCCCAATAAAGGACCGGATGAGTAAATTACCTCCACACAATGGAATTAAATGGTATCATTAAAGATCACGTGCATAAATGTCTATTGACAAAGACTCTCACAATATATTGTTAAAAAGGGAAAGTATGTTAACAGAGCTGTCGCTTTGAGGTCAAGAGAGCACGCAGGCGGTGCGGAGGCAGACAGGGATCCACTATGCAGGGTGACCTTGGGCTGGCTCACTAACTGCTCTAAGCCTCTGTTTTGTCATCTCTAAAATGCAGGGAAAACGGTGCCCTCTCATAGTTTTGAAGATTAAAGGAGCTCATTTGCACGTTCATTTGACCATATTTATTGAACATTCCCGACAGGCAATTCCTGCCCTCTGAGAGCTTCCAGTCTAGTGAAGAGAACAGACATTAAACACAAATAGAAAGCAGAGAAGGTACAGGTAATCAAGAGAGAGTAATGGGTGTGCCAAAACTAACAAAGGACCTAACTTAGGTTGTCAGTAAAATGTCAAATGACTCTGACATTTAAGATGAAACCTAAAATTTTGAGGAATCATGTCTGGTGTAGCCAGGGGAACAGATGATATGGACAAATGCTCTGAGGCAGGAGGGGCTGCTGCATCGGTCTCATAAGGCCTGGCATATAGTACGTGCCGTACAAGTAGCCACTGTAATTGAGAAAATAGGGATCTATGTGCTCACATGAAGGGCAAAAGGCTGGAAGGCCCAACAGCTGAGTTGTCAGTCATGATTATGGGAGTGGTTGGACTTAGGGTGAATTTCATTTTCTTCTTGGTGTTTCACTATTGTTTAAGTCACTTCTTATAATGAACACGTATAACATAAGAAAAAAACAGCGACTTATTTTGGGGGGAACAAAGGACAAGAATGTTTCTTCACTGTTTATATGCACAAGAGTTTCCATGCGGTCTACACCTAGCAGTCTCACCCTGAAACAAAACACCAAATCCTGATGCCCTGCCCGGGACCAGGCATGGAGTTGGGCAGGGCCACCTTGGGCTGCACCTCGCACAGCCTCTCACAGGGCTCCCCACGCCGAGGGCTGACTGTCTCCTGCCCTACCATAACTCAGTTTGGTCCAGTGGTTTCCCAACCCAAAGCCCGAGTAACCCCCTGCAGAGGGCAACCGAAGTAGCAGGTCAGGCACAGCACCTCCCACTCCGTGCTGTCCCCACAACTCGCTATTGGACTTGCCTAGAAGCTGTGGGGCCTAATAAAGTGGCCAGAGGGAGCGCAAATGAAGGCTCGGTAGAAACTGCAGAAAAAGTGTGGCTGCACCGCACCGAGCCCCAGCAAAACACTGGCATTGTCCCTGTGGCCCTGGATCCCACCTACCTGAACGTCTCTCCCAGTTGGCACCTTGCCCTGGCTGGGAGAACAGAGACTGGCTCTCGGGAGTGGAGCAATCTTAGACAAGTCACTCCTCAGGACCTGGGTTCTTCATCTGGAAAGGGAGGGACCAGATGACCATAGAGCCAGAGATCAACCACAGATTGGGCAGTAACTACAGGTCACAGAAGAGAACTTTGCACGTGCTTTTTCACTGAGTACCTTTGATGCCTCCCTTTTCAGGCCCCCACTCACAGTGCCTTGTCACCTTCTCCCTCCGCCCCCAACCTTTCAGGATTTAGTTGTCACTTCCTCCAGCGTTAGGCAAGAACATGTACCCCACGGATTGACACAGAGATCAGGCCTGGGGATGGGAAATTGCCAAGTTTGGTTTTGGATAAGCTGAAACCTGAGGACTGAGGATTATCAGTGGCAAGAGGGTCAATCAGCTTTGGGGTCTCTCAGAGGATGCAGGTGCCCAGCAGAGAAGAGCAGAGAGGAGAGACTAATCTAAAACTCTTCACTTACGGGGTGGGTACGGAAAGAGGAATCCGGAAGAGACAGAGCAGATGGAGACCAAGGGCAGAGAACCAGGACAACATGGCAGCCCAGAAGCCTGGAAGGAGCATCTCAAGGAGCTTCCAATAGCATCTCAGCCGAGGAAGATGTAGGGCTTGGATAAGGAGGGACAAGTGCTGTGGACCAAGGAGATTTTGTCGCCAGGGGTCACGTGGTAATGTCTGGAGACGGCTACTAGCACCTGGCAGGCAGGGGCTAAGAACGCTGCTAAGTGTCCTCACAGCACACAGGACAGCCATCCTCATAAGCACACTGGCCCTAAATGTAAATAGTGCCACTGCTGAGAAATCCTGCCTCACAGGATACAGAGGAGCTAGCTCCCAGACTCTTCAGCGGTGCCTGAGATGAACTTGGAAGCTCAGCAGACAGGAATAGCCTAGACCGTGCTGAAAACACCACCGAAGACCTCACTGTTGTCACCACTGGGCACCCTTGGTGTTGATCTGGCCACTAGAACGCCCCCACCTCCTGACCCCCCGCTACCTCTGGTCCCAGTGGCCACTACCTTCACCAGCACAACTCCCACACAGGCTGGTGCATCTGGTTGATGGCACTTTGCTTGAGAGAAAGCTGGACAAACAAGTGCCCTCGGGCCTTGAGGTGGGAAGGCTCTGCCTGCGTAAGACGCAAGGTGGAATTCCAGGAACAAGTAACAACAATCAACAATGGCATCAAAGGGAAGGAGAGAGGGGGAGAGCAGAGTGGTTCTGCCTGTTTCTTTGAAGGTGTCAGATGGGAAAACTTGGGCCCATCTGAGGATGGAGAGGAAGGAAATCAACCAAGATGAAGAGGCTGGAGACGCAGAAGGAAGAGCCTAGGAGGATGGGGGTGCCAGATGGGACAGAGGTGAAGACAGGTAAGACTGGGTCCTTCTCTTTAGCTGCGCATACAGGTGTGCTCAGCAAACCTGTGGGATGGTGGGGGGGACCATCAGAGAAGGGCATCGGTCACTGAGAAGCCAGACCCAGCCTCAGAGAAGCAGTTTAGGGCCGGGGAGGGTTCAGACATTATCAAATTCATTTTGCCAGTGAAGCCACAGCACAGGGACGGGCTGGGCCAGGGTCAGTCAGCGAGTCTGAGGGGCTGACACAAGACTCAGGTCTCTCCTCACAGCCCTGTCAGTGGTGAGCGGCTGGGGGATTCTGGGATGCTCATGTGTCTCTCCCCTTTTAAGGGGGCAGACCTGGCGTGGCAAGGTCAAAGAGACGAAACTAGAATTCCCACCAGAGCCTTTCCCTCCTCTGCCTGGGAGGAGCATTATTAAAGGGCAGCTGCCCCCCCTGCTCTGCCGCCACTGCTCTCTGCTACGGGGAGCTCGCAGCCTCACCATCCAGCCTGCGGCAGCTCTGCCTTTACAAAGCACAGCCTCCTGCAGAGCTACAGCCCGTTGCCCAGCAGCCCCTGCCCATAGGCCAGGGATCTCCTAGAGTTGCCAGAGGGGACAAGTTGAGTCCACCCTGCACCTGCTCTCGGACTGTCCCCAGAGGTCTGAGGACAGAGATCATGTTGCTCTAAGGTCTTTGGCTAAACACCCTCCCGGGACACTCCCTTCATGAAGGACGGTGCTGAGAAGGGGAAGAGGAGGCCTAAGCCAAGCCCCTGCTTCGCTGCCCTGCTAGGGCCTGGCGCTCCTCCTGATGAGGTGGAAACACCCTCTAAGGTAGTCTCTCTGTCTGTGAGGACCTCTCGTCCCCCCCTCCCACCCAGGCCCCTGCCCCATGAAAGGGCTCCCAGCACCCTGGGGCCCAAATCAGCCTCGGTTAGCCCAGAGGACTTGCTGGCTTCTCCTGTGTCTGCAGGGGGCTGGGACCGGTGCCGAGCAGCTCAGTGCCACAGTGGGGCCAGCAGCACGCGTGGCACTTCCACGAGTGGCCCAGGGTCTGATTCTGCTGCCTCCTCGTGAAAGGCGGCAGCCAGCTGGCCAGCGGTCCTAACTCAAAGGGAGGGTCCGGCCCAGGATCCTTCCAGCCTCCCCCCACATCTCAACGTGGCTTGATCTGCAGCATGGCATCCTCTGAAGGCCTCCTTGGCACCCACGCCTCCAGGAAGGCCCCAGGAAGGAAATCCAGCCTTCCGTGGCCCAGTCACTTCAATTAGGGCACAGAGCCGGCTCCAGGGGGGCTGAGCAAACGTCGCCTCCCCTTTCACAGAGCTGGCTCTCACCGCCAGTTGATGCCTCTGCCTCTTCCTCCAGACTGGTCTCCTCCTGGCCCCCTGAGCCCTGGGCCACTCCCGGCTATAACTCAGACTGGGACCTCGAGATCCGCGGGCCTTTTCGGATCTCTTTCCGCTTCTCCTCTTTCTTCCTGCGTTTCTCCTCCTCCCTCAGGGCCTTCTGGAAAGGGTCAGTGCTGGAAATGAACTGAGAGAAAAAAAAGAACAGTCTGGTTTAGTCTGTGGGGAGCAGAGAGTTTGTCTGAGGCTAGGCCGCTGTGGGCCTGCGGCAGCAGGAAGATCACCTAGACGCAGCCCCTGCCCTCAAGGAGCCCGCAGACAAGGAGACAGTTCAATGAGCTCGGGGAAAACTGCTGAGAGTCTTGAGAAATACCCAGGAGCTCCCCAAGCACACAGGATGAGGGAAGAAAAGGACATTCCAGGAAGGAGGGATGAGTGCTAAGGTGGGAACCTGCACGGGGCATTTGAGAAACCGTAAGCAGGCCTCTCTCAGGGTGAGGGGACGGAGTGCCCAAGACACCCAGACCCCTAGGGCCCTGGCTGCCGCACAGGAGGGGAGGGCCTCCAGTGAGAGCAGGAGACGGCAGGCATCCGGCTGCTTATGAACAAGCTGCAGAGAAGCCCAGGCGAGGGAGTGCATGGGAAGCAGAGGGCCAGAGGTCAAACTGGCAGACCTTGAAAAAGAGGCGAAGGAGAAGACTGTGGTGTCCAGGTTCATGGCTTCCACGGCACGGGGACGGTGGTGCCCGGTGAGGAGACAGGAACCCAGGGTGGCCAGGGTGGCGGAGGAGGACTTCAGTGGAAGCATTCCTCGACTGCAATCCCCGGGGCCTTTGCCCTTCTCCCGCTACCCCCTCCAGACTGGCTCATCTAAACCCACGGCTTGCGTTAGGCGTGTAGGTCAGTTACCCCTCACACCTGCATCTCCACATCTAAATGCGACTAGGATGTCCCAGACGTGCCCCAAACTTGGCCCGGCGCCATCTCCCCAAAACCCAGTCCTTTCGCAGCATCCCTGTCCTCATGAACAGTGGGGCCCCACACCCCCACCGCCCTCCCTCCTTGACCAAGGCCTGGCTCATTTTAACTCCTCAGTGTCTCTCAAACTCCGGTCCTCCTCTCCGTCTCCCCTACGGCTACCCTCGTCACCACCCGCACCTCTCCCCATGCCTCGGGGCCTCCCCACGCTCTCCACACCCACGCTCCCCACGCAGAAGGTGCCGCTCAGACCTTCTCCTCAGTGCAGTGAAGCTCTTTTCAAAATGCAAATGTGACCGTGTCACACTCCTGCTGAAACCCTTCTGTGACTGCACGGCGCTCAGGATAAAGCTCCACACGCTCCATCTGCAGGCCCACCCTGCCCACCTCTGTGCTCCACCCTCACACTCCCTGTTTTGGGCTCTCGGATTCCCTGTTCCCTTCCACCCCCAGGCCTCTGCATGTGCTGTGCCCGGGCCCAGAATGCTCTTTCCGGCCCCTGCTCAGCTGTTGCCATCCTGGGGGACCTGCTCTGACTCCCAGTTGGGGCTGGCTCCTCCATCTCCTTCTCAGTGCTTCATGCCTGTCGCGCCCACTGGAAAACACTCTCCGCGAGGACAGGAGGGTCCTGTGTTGCTCACCGTACCACGAGTCCCTAGCCCAGGACCTGCCTGGCTTATAGAGGGCCCTCGGTATGTATTTTTTAAATGAACAAATGAATCGAGTAGAATATGAAATACAATAATAGTACCCCAAACTCAAGTTAACTATGCTGTGAAATATGCCCGTTTTATTTGTTCTTAGGGCAAATGTGACAAATGTGTAATCAAGGTAGGCATTAAAAACAAACTAGAAGCTCTACCTTGTGCAGAAATCTACCTGCCATGTTAGATTGAACTATGAGAGTCTGGAAGATGGGGTGAAATCAGAGAAGTGTGGCCCAGAGAGGGTAGGTGATATGCTTAAGTCACACAGCAAGTGGGAGGCACACTGGGACCAGCCCCCGGGCCTCCCACCTCCCTGACCAGTGTTGCCCCTACCACACTCTGCCTCCTATTGCGAGGCTTTAATCCATATCCTCTTGGGAGGAATGAGGAGCTGACCCCCCAGGTCACAGAGACCCCACACCCTCTGGCTCTGGCTGGGGTAGAGCAAGTCAGAAGATGTGGGCCTTCCAACCGCAGCCGGCTGAGCCTCACCAGAGGAGCCCACACCTAGCTGGGTCAGAAGAGAAACACTGCCTCTCCCTTTCCCAGACCGCTTCCCCACTAGGCCTAACTAATGCCTACTTTAAATTCCTGGTGTTAACCTCCGGCGGGCCCTTCATGCTGCCTGGCAATCCATGTCTCCTTGGCCTGCTCCCGCAGCCGCTCTCCTAGGCACACCTCCTGGGGCCTCCCAATCCTCCCCCCTCCCCCCAGACCATGACCCAGCTCTTTATTTCAGAGAACAGAAGCACTCACAGGACAATTCCACAAGTTCCCACCTCCACACCCGCCAACCCAGCTGCCTCTGTGCACAGCCTGCTCTTCCAGACAAGATGGACTCTTCCCCCGGGGTGCCAGATCTTCTCCCCTGCCTGCCTTCCTCAGGGTGAGGCTCCAGCCACTCTTATGCCCCCGCACCATCGATTCTTTCCCCCTAATGGGCCGTCCCCATCAGCATGCCAACATGCCTAGTCTCTCCCATCTGACTAAAATCTCCCCTGGAATCCACACCCCCTCCGGCTATGTTCCCACTGGTCTGTTCCTTTTGAAAAGGCAGCTCTTCGAAGGTAGTCTGCCCTTGCGGCGTCCACTTCCTCGCCTCTCCCTCTCGAAATCCAATCTTTGTCCCCACGGCTCCACCAAAACAGCTTATAATACGATCTCTGATGGCCAGTGTCCATGTTGCTAAATCCAGTGGCCGGTTCTCAGGCCTCATGCTACTTGGCCTTCCAGCAGATTCTATGAGCTGCTCACTCCCTCTGCTGCCCGTTTCTCACAGGGCCTCTGTGAAATGATCTTCTGGGCGTCGACTCTCACACCGTCATTCTGGAGCTTCTTTGCTCGTTCCTTCCCATCCTCCCACCTCTACCAGGAGGCGCATCCTAGGACTCAGCCCTGACCACTGCTCTATCTGCCTTGACACCCTACCTGCCCCGGGGTGATGGACCGTGACCTGTGCCACGGCTCCCCACACCTTCCTTCATAAGCACGACTCACATTTGCAGCCCCAGCTTCAACCTGAAATCTGGAGTCCTATTTCCAATCACCTCCATGACATCTTCATCCGGATGCTCACCAGGCCCAGAAACAAAGTCTTGCTCCCCGATCCAGGCCTCAACCTGGTCCTACCACAGTGTGCCCGTTTTAGAAAATGGCAGCCCCGTTCTTCCATGTGCGCAGGCCAGAAGTCTTCTAGTCCTTCTTACTGCGTTCCTCTCAGGCCACATCTGCTTCCTTAGCTGGCTCTACCTTCTAAACAACCAGAATCTCACTGTCCTCAATGTTGTCACCCTGGTTTTGGTTTAAACCACCATTAACTCCCAAATGGACCAGCCCAGCCGTCTCCTCATCAGTGTCTTTGTTCCCGCCCTGGCCCCCTAGACAACTCTCCACACAACAGCCAGGCTGATCCTGTACAGGGAAAGCCAGAGCCCATCACCCCGTTCTCCATGTGTCTCAGAGTAGATGCCAAAGCCCCGGAGAAGACCCCCAAGGGTCTTGTGATCTGGCCTATTCCGACCTTATCGTCTCATGGAACCTCCCTCCCCTCCAAGTATGCTTCCAACTCAAGGCCTGTGCACTTGCTGCTCCTTCAGCATGGAATGTTCTTCCCCCAGATCCATGACCCGCTCCCTCACCTTGTTCAGGTCTTTTTAGTAAGACCTTCTGCATCGAATTCACATGCAACAGCAGTTGTACTCTACCTTATCCCTGATTCCGTAAGCACATTCCCCCGCTTTTTTCTCCATAGCCTTGTTACCACCTCCCATGATTATATGCTTTTTATTGACTATATCCTCCAACTGGAGTGGCACTCCCAGGAGAGCAGGGCTACTCTGCTTCTCTAGTAGCTGGGATTCGGTAGACACTCACCAAAGGATACATAAATGCATGTGCTATGCCTCTGAGCCTCTGTGCAAGCTAGTGCCGTGGCCTGCAGGGTCTTCTCCAAGCCGGTCCACCCGGCAGTTCTTACTTACCCCAGAGCCCCCACCACCTACCTGCTGAAGCAGGGTCAGCCTCCCTCTTAGGGGTTCCACAGCTCATCCCACTTCCCTCCTCCACTGGTGCGGTGATCATGCTACATCGGGACTGTTTCCCTGCCACCTTCCCCAACAGACTGTGAGCATATGAAGAGCAGGGAGAGGGCCAGCTCCCTCTGGGCAGGGACCGTGACCAGCATACAGCCTGACACAGGCTGGCTCTAGTTATGGGTGCATAAGAGGTACTTATGTACAGAACACTCACTAGCACGGAGAGTGCATGAAGGGGGCTGAGCAAGCCTGGGCTGCTGGTGGGACGGGTCCATGCTGGATGCTAAAAAGGGAGTAAACGCTTGAGACCGTCCCTAGCCAGTGAGAAGTAAGGAGAGCATGTTGCTGGTACGGTTATTTCTAAGCAGAGCACATTATGACAAAGCCAAACTCCATCTCTCCTGACACCCATCCTCTCTGTGTCAGGGGCCCTCATGACCTGCAGGGCCGGGAGAGCCAGCCTCACAGCAATAAAGCATCTCTGTGGGTGCCCCTCCCTGGGAAAGGAAACTTGCCATGGCCTTGAGTGTCCTTTCGCATTCATGCTGGGTAGGCCCTGACTGTTCTTACATTGGCCACTTATCAGGGTTGTGATTGCAGCAAGCAACCTCGAGGGGGATATTACATGACGAGGTGACAGCAACCTAGTGGGGAAACCCTTATCTCCCATTCTGCTGCCTGAAGCAAAGACGCAGCTTCAAAGGGCCCTTGATTCAAAGGTTCCCCTAAACACTCAGGCCTGGCTCACTGACTGTTCGCCTAAACTAAGAGCTAATGGTACTGTGCAGAAGAGTTAACACAGCCGGCCCGACTGCTATCTTTTGAAAGGCCTGTTTCTAGGGTTGCATCCTAGCTGGTGTCTGGGAACTTGGATTTTGGGAGGGCTCCCACCACCCTAATTGGTAAGAGTGACTCACTGAGCCTAAACTGTGCAAACAATGTGGTTTATACTGAACACCTTGCTTTCCTCCTGGGACTCTGGAACTCTGGGCAGAGGGAGCTTTACATTACCAGCTCCCAATAAAAACTCTAGACGCTGAGTTTTTAATGGGCCTCCTCTCAGGACAACTTCTCACATGTCACATCTTATTGCTGTGGAAATTAAGTATGCCCTGGGTGCCTCCATTGGGAGAAGACTCTTGGCGGCCTATGCCTGGTTTCCCTGAAACTTCACCCCGTGAGCCTTTTCCCTTTCCTGATTTTGCTTTGTATTCTTTTGCTATAATCAACTACAGCCATGAGCACAACTATACACTGACTCCCGTGATTCTTCCTAGCGAATCATCAAATCCAGGGATGCTTTTGGGAATCCTAGACAGTGTTGTCTATTGGCAGTGGCAGCCATCCAGCACCGGTGACAATGCCATCAAGGCCAGTCAGACAATGATCTGAATTAAAAGCCACTGGCCTTGCCTAGATAATATTCCTAACACCATGCATATTATATTTCTAGTGACTGTTGTCAGTGTCCTAACCATCTATGCCACAAGACCACAGACCGGCAGATCCAAGACAGCCATTCCTCGTTGGGGCCATGAAGTCTGGAAACAAACTATGGTTGACAACTAAACGTTCCAGGTCATTTGTTTAGATGCCCATCGTAAGGTCCATTCTCTGATGAGATCAACCAGAATCAAAACGCTGATCAAGCCTACACTGCCCAGTTAACTGGCTTTGCCATCTAAATATATCATTGTACCAGCTGTGGCAACGTACTTGCCACCATGGATGGGCACTAAGCAGAGGACTCTCTATTTCTGGCTTGACGGCCTGGAGTCCCTTGTTGGAATGGTATGTCCTGAAATCATTGGGATAATGACCATTTGGTTAAGTACGCACCCTGCCACGTCCTGACAGTGGCCCATGTGGCCCAAGATGGAAGGTACGATGGGTCTCTGAAAATGTAAAAATGCCCTTGTCCATTCACATCTGACCCTCCTGGATGAAAGAAAGGTCCAGGCGAGAGTAGGGGATGACTGGAGAAAGAGTGGAATTCTAGGGCCTGGGATGTGACACACCGATTTTGCAGCAATAATCTTAGCATCTGGGGAGGGAACAATGAATCCTCTTGGTCTCTTCGGTCTAGCACCGCCACTTGGCAAACAATCCTAGGATCTGCCCAAGCCAAGTGGCAGCTGCAGCTGACGATGTGATTGGCTGTTGGGTGTGTCATTCTCAGCCCTGTGACAGGAAAACTCCCAGGGACGGCGTCAGCAGTGACCTACTCTGCTGTGCCTGATGCTGTCGAAAGCAGCTCCCAAAGTGACCCTGCGCAGGCACACAGGCCCAAACAACCTGTTTTAATTAGACAGATACAAATCCATCTGCTTCTCCTGATGTCTGAGTGGCCTTGGGTTATGCCACACAGGACAAGTGAGGCTGCAGTCCCATGGAGACACTGATATAACAGTGACTCCAATCAAGTAGTGATATATGGGAGACCGTGGGCCATGAACTGTCTCTTCACTGGGGAGAAGGGCTGCTTTGTGTTCATCTATTGCTCCTGGTAATTATGGACAATGATATCAAAGATCAGTAGATTCATCTAAACTCCTGTGTGGGTGGTCATGGGTAATAGACCGGCCTTAGACTATTCTGAATATCTAATATAAACCCCTACTGGTGGGGCGCCTGGGTGGCTCAGTCGGTTAAACGTCCGACTTCGGCTCAGGTCATGATCTTGTGGTTTGTGAGTTCGAGCCCTGCGTTGGGCTCTGCGCTGACAGCTTGGAGCCTGGAGCCTGCTTCAGATTCTGTGTCTCCCTCCCTCTCTGCCCCTCCCCTGCTCACGCTCTCTCGCCCTCTCTCCCTGTCTCTCAAAAATAAACATTAAAAAAAATAAAAAAACAGACAAAAAAGATCTACTGGCCTGCCTGGGACTTAGCTGGCTGAGTCTGCAACCCCGGGGCTTGGCCTCCTCCTGCTGCTTAGAGTCCTGTTGATGGCAGCAGTAATCAAATGACAACATGAGACAAACTGAACTCATCTGGTCCTCGCCTCTACCGATGGGTCAGACTGAATGGCACATTCGTGTGGAAACTTAAGCTAAGCCAAGACATACAGGGTTAACGGGTACACTGTGGGGGAGGCAACCAACCGCGGCCCTGCGTACCCCTGCACGGTCTCACTGGCTACAACAGGAAAGCAAAGCCCTGACCACTCTGTACGTGGGTATCACTCGTCAGGACTGCTTGCAGAGAACCACCTGCGGGGGGGACAGGATGACTGCCCTTAAAGAGAGTAGGTTTGCCTCTATTCACTATAAAGGCTGTGACTATCCCAAACTCACTACTCTTCACCTTCGTGCAAAGCCACTGCATGCACAGCATCTGCCTGGACCCCTCTGTGTCACCCATGGGTGACTTGAGGAACAAGGCAAACCCCTGTGGCCAGGCCAACAGTCCAGATATTGCTTTTGCTGCAGTCAACTCCGATGTCTCTGACCTGTGAGCACCCATGAAACAGCAGCAGGCTAAAATCCTAGACCCCTCAAGGTCCCGGACACCCCTCCCTACACCAGAGCAGAGCCTATAATTTGACAAGTCCAGTCCTCCAGGCTTTCCTGCCCCTGCTGCACTGGCCTGCCACCTGATTCCCTCCTCCCCTCTACTCTATGTGTCCCCATCTGTGGTCCCACCCTGTAGCCGTCAGCCCTCAGAGCCCACCTCAGCCCCCTACGTTGAAAGCATATGCAAGAATGTGAGACAGAAGCCTGGCTGAGTGCTCAAAGGCTCAAGGGCAGAGAAGCATGGCCCGACATCGTCGCCTGGCAGCCACTTGATGTGGGATGCCTACTATCCATGGGGATGGGTGTGTTCACAGGCTCTGACTGTCCCTCACAGCTGGGCTCCATACCCCGTGAAAAGACAGGGAACATGAGGCTAAGACATGGGCAGTGGCTTGTGCGAAGGCAACAATGAGCAGTTAATGGAATGTGGATCCAGACTCAAGCCGTGTCTGACTCCGAGTCGAAAGCCCTCATGCTCCACCCAAGGTGTCCCACCCCCTGTATGACCTGGCTTCCCATGACCCCACAGAGGCAGAGCAGACATGGCCATAGGCCCCACAACTTACCTCTGGGTGGTCTACTTTAAATGGGTTCTGGAAGTCAGAGTCTTTCTCACTGATCCCCAGCTCCTGGGCCATCTGCGGATGGGGAGAAGTTAGTCATCCTCCGCCTCTCCTGACTCCTTACCCGCACCTACTTCCTCCACAGTGGGACTCAAGCCCAAGGCTTAGGCAGACAGAAAACAGGTGATGACCCCTAGGGACCCAGGTCAGCACAGAACCCCTTGAGACTGCATCTCAAGGTGTCCTGAGGCTTATCACGGAAACCACAACCACGGGCTGACATTCAGGCCTAACTGAAGGCAGATGCAAGGTTCACGGTGCACCACCAGGCAGAGGGCTCCTGAACCTCCTCTGCTACAGTCCTTACCAGGCTAAGGATGGGCGAGTGGGGCCCTTGGTCAAAGACGCCCGACTGGTTGCAGAAGCTGATGCCCCAGCGGATGAGAAGGTTCCAATTGGAATTGTGGTCAAAGTAGTGGTGCACAATCCTCGGGAAGCGCAGCACCACGTCACCGAAGAAGGCTGTATTCTCCACTACTTGGGAGAAAGCTGGCGAGAGGATCCTGATGAGTGGCCGAGGCAGATGCCCTTCTGCCCACCTGCCCAGCCCCAGCCACCCTTCAGAGTATATAAGCCCACTAAGCCTGCTCATCAGAGGAGGGAACTGTGACCACTATCCATAGGTGCTGACCACATGTGCAGTGTATGCTAAGGGCTTTATGTCCCCCAGCTCATTGAATCCCCAAAACCACCTTTAGGAGATGTGGCTGCTGTTCCCATTTTACAGATGGGAAACTGAGGCTCAGGTGGCTGTATCTCATAGCTTAGAAACCTCATTTGTTTTAAGGACTGGAGAGGTGGGTACCATTTCGCACATGAAGACATATATCGCATGAGGCTTGGCTGGGTCGGACTTCCCCAACTTGGCCTCCAAATATCCAGAGCCAGGCCCCAGTGTTAACACAATGGCAGTGTACGTGAGGAGGCAGGTTTGTTAGGATGACCAGAGAACACATTAGGGTTTGTTTTGGTTTTTTTAATATCTTCCCAATTTCATTTTAAATATCTTTTTCATTTGTTTGTTTAGAGAGAAAGAGAGCATGTGCGAGCAAGGGAGAGGGGCAGAGAAGGGGAGAAGGGATGGGGGAGAGAGGGGATAAAAGGAGTGGTGGGAGAGATGGGGAGAGGGGGAAAGGTGTGGGGGAGAGTGAGAGAGAAAGAGAAAGAGAATCTTAAGCAGACTCCATGCTCAGCGCAGAGCCTGACATGGGGCTCAAAACCACAGCCCTGGGAGCGTCCCTGAGTCAAAAATCAAGAGTTGGATGCTCAAATGACTGAGCCACTCAGGCACCCCCCAATTTTATTTTAAAAGCTTCTCAAGGTCTTATATTAAAATAACTTTAGATTCGGGCGCCTGGGTGGCTTAGTCAGTTAAGTGTCCGACTTTCGCTTAGGTCATGATCTCGCGGTTCGTGGGTTCGAGCCCCACGTCGGGCTCTGTGCTGACTGCCAGCTCAGAGCCTGGAGCCTATTTCAGAGTCTGTATCTCCCTCTCTCTCTGACCCTCCCCTGCTCGCGCTGTCTCTCTCTCTCCTAGAAATAAATAAAACATAAAAAATTTTTTTGTTAATTTGTTGATGTGGCAGAGTATATTTATGAGATTTTAAAAAATTATTTTGTGTTTTATTTCTTTTTTTCTTCTTTTTCCTAAATAGTTTATTGTCAAGTTGGTTTCCATATAACACCAGTGCTCATCCCCACAAGTGCCCTCCTCCATGCCCATCANTCGTGGGTTCGAGCCCCACGTCGGGCTCTGTGCTGACTGCCAGCTCAGAGCCTGGAGCCTATTTCAGAGTCTGTATCTCCCTCTCTCTCTGACCCTCCCCTGCTCACGCTGTCTCTCTCTCCCTCTCCTAGAAATAAATAAAAATCTTAAAAAAAAAATAGATTTCTATCATTCATCATAAAACTCTCTCACTCGGCTTCCTCTAATATTATCATCTTACATAAGCACTGTACAATTATCTAAACAAAGAAATTAACATTGAGACTAATCCATAGACCTTATCTGAATTTCACTAATTTTCTCACTAATGTCCTTCCTCTGGTCAACAGATCAGTTCAGACTAACTTAGAGTGTCCATCGTGGCAGCAGGTCCCCCCAACCTAGACTATCATGAAAAATAACTATATACCCAGTCCCACCAGAAGTCTCTGTTCGAGCCACCCCTGCAGATAAGACCCAGGCAGCCCTTACCAGCACTGGCCAGCCCACACAGAGATAAGCGGACTCCCCCAGAGTCCAAAGCAAAGTGGAGCAGGGGCTTTTGGGCCTGAGAACAATCTTGAACCTCAAAGAACTTGGGAGTTAGCTTGGTTTACAGGTTTGCAAGAGCAAACCACTCATCTTCTTTTATCTGGAAAATGAAGGCAACAGTGCCCTCCTCAGAGTCATAGGAGAGATTCGAGATGAAATTTATAAAGTGCCCACCGTTTGATATGTAGATGCTATTTCCATCCTCTCTCACAGTATAATCTAACGTTTTATTGTTAGCATATAACCAGTTAACAGGAGGTGGGAAGGGAATTACCATGGGAGAAAAATTCTAAGAAAAGGGGATGAAGAGACACAAACATTCCTTCCTCTCTGATTTACCTGTTTTCCCCTTGTCTCAAAAAGTATTTAAGGGGATTGAGGCTTTAAAACAGTAGAAAAGAGCACTGTTAGCTGCCCCCCACCAGCGAGTCCCTTCAAGAGGTCTCAGTTTTTCTCCTATAAATGGGAATAACCCTTGCCTTCTCTACCAGAACAGTCAAGGTAATAGAAAAGGCAAGGGTCCCTGAGGTGGGGTTGTGGGCAGAGGCTTCTCCTATTTCCCCTGCCCCAAGCACAGTACAGTACAAAGGAATATATCCACGTCAGGGGCCCAGAAACTGGCTCTGACACCTGGAAATGCCCAGAGAAATATGGGTTAAGTGTCCATACACCCAAGGGGACCAGTTGGAAGGTGTCATAAGTGGAAACTTCCAGAGAAAAAAAGAGAGTGAGGAGAACAGGAGGAAAGGAGCAGTGAGAGAAGATCAAGGTGGTGGGAAGAAGGAAAGGGCAAGATTGGGAAGACCATACCATCCTTCAGTTTCTCGTCCTGGGGGAAGGGCCCATCTGGGAGCACATCGGCAGCAATGAGCACTGTCCGCGAGTCCTCCAGCACCTGAGGGAACCCCACCCAGGCTGAGTGGCTCTGCAGAGCCCTTCACACACGGCCCTATTTATTTAAACTCTATTTCAAATCTTCTGTGTATGTGGTTCCCCGTCTCGTTGAACACCAGCCCCTCAGGGAACTCCTACCTTATCTATCAGGGCCCAGATCAAAGACCTGGCCGTGAGCTGTCCCATGCCCACATGTACCTTAAAGAGCCCCTTGAGCATTACGTCAAGGATCTTATACTGCTGGTGGACATCGTTTAGCTGCGCCAGGTTTTTCAGTGCCAGCAGCTGCTCCCGCCGCTTCACCATAAACATCTTCTTGTCTGAGCAGCGTGCAGTCAAGGGACTGGCCTCAGCAACCCAGTGGTCTCAATCCAGAGGGCCCATTCCCGAACAGCAAATATCTGCAAGGGCCATGGATGCCCATAGCTGAGACACTCCCCCTGCCCCCACCCAGAAGGAAGAAACAAACAGAAGTAGAGGCATCCTGCAATGTATCATTGCCCAGTTCACAGAGGAGTCTATATCCAACGCCCTGAACACTCCCTCCGGACGTGGCTGCTGCTCTCCCCTCCCGTGGTCTTCCCATCGTCTGCTGCAACCATTCACCATGCCCAGAACCTCCACTCCTCTGTTTCCACTATACACTTTGCCTAGGATGCCCCCCACTCTTCTCCATGAATTTCTATGCTTTCGTGACCCAGTTCAAAAGCCACAGCACAGTATTTCTCCCTGCCCCTCTTCCCCCACGTTTCATTAAAGTGCCGACCACACAGTACAGTGAGAGGCCTGTGAATTCCTCAAAGCCAGGGATGACTGGTCCTAATTCTTCCTCGTGTCCCCAAGGTCTGGCCCAGAGTAGGCAGCCCCAGTATGGCAAGGCCTGGCTCTTCACCCAGGGTCTCACCCACAAGATGCAAAGCATATATACAATCCTCAGAGGGCTCTGAGAAGTATGCCTCGCCTCCTCCATTTAACATATGGAGAAACTGAGAGTCAGAAAAGAATGGACTTGATCAAGGATTAGAGCACCTCACCTTTTCTCCCCTGTTCCTATAGGCGGGGTCTGCTCCATCTCTGGAATCCAAGGGGTTGTGGGTACAGAAAGACTTTATTTATAGACACCCTCAGAAACAGCTCATTAACCCCACCTCCAACCCCAAAGGATACAGATCTCCAGGCTTGGGTCCAGGGAGGTCCTCAGGGTGCCTGTAACTCCTGTCCCAGACAATAGCACGACAAAGACGAAGGTCAGGAACTGAAGAAGGTCCATATCCAAGATCCTAGAGCTAGGAAAGTAACCCAGAGAGAGGAGGTGAGATCCAGAGCTTGGTTTATAAAATAAACAGTGCAGGTGAACAGCAACTTCCCAACTTGACATAGCCTCCAAATACCAAGAACCCAGCTTTGGGAAGCCTTGGAGCCCCAGCTCCCAGCCCAGCACCTGTGACCAACCAGACATACAATAAACACTGTGGGATGTTAGGAGGAAGGAGAAGAGATAATATTGGCAATACAGGAATGCTTAGAGCACAGGGGTTAGTGTCTAGAGCTCTGGGCTAGAGCCTTGGCTCTGCCTCTGTCTCTGGGCCCTGGGGCAAACTGCTTAGCCTCTCTGAGCCTCAATTTCTCACCTGTAAAAGAGATAAGGAAGTCACCTCAGTTTCTCACCTGTAAAAGAGATAAGGAAGTCACCTCCTTGCTGTAGGGAGAAAGGACTGGGTGAGGCATTGTGCCTGGGGAAAGTGGGGGCTGGCCAATATCATTATTCCCTTTCAACATCCTAGACCCCAGGAGGGTTATCTGGTTAAGGAAGCCCAGGCAGTCAGGGGGGATGTGAAACTTCTGGTTTCCCCTCCTCTCTGACTTCTGTCATTAGAACAGAAGAACGGGGGCCATCTGGTTGGCTCAGTCAGTGGAGTATGCGACTCTTGATCTCGAGGTTTAAGTTTCACCCCCACACTGGGAGTAGAGATTACTTAAAAATAAAATCTTAAAAAAAGAGAGAGAACAGAAGAAGGGATGCAGGGCAGGAATGAAGGCAGCACAGTCTTGGATAAGCAGGCTGCCACTCATTCACTTTGGAACCACAGGCACCACAAGCAACACCTGTTACTATTCAGGCACCATTCCCTAAATACTTTTTGAGTACTAAGTTCAAGGCACTGTTTTAGACCTGAGAATACAACAGTGCCCAAGGCAGACAAAAATGACTGCATTTCACATTACTTATGTCCCTAGTAGGGGAAACAGAAAATCAATAAACTTGTAAAACAAGACAAAAGGTTGAGGGAATCGGTGGCATGTAATATTAAACACAGTGGTCAGTGGAGGCCTCACACTCCAATGACAGCTGATCAATTTTACCAATGTGGGAACCAAGGCACAGAAAAGGCAGATGACTATCCAAAGTCACTCAGCTATTCCCAGCCTAAACCAAGAGTCTAAATGAGCACAGGCTACCTCAAAGATGCCACTGGTCTATCAGGACGCCTGCTCCAGGGGAGAGATGCTCAGTTATTGACAGCGAGAGCCCGCAGAGGTCATTCGGAGAACCGCCCCCACCCTACGAAGATCCGACACCTGAAGCCCAAAGACTGGGAAGGAGTAGTCCAACTTCACCCAGGACCTGCCTTCCAACGCCACGCTCTAGACTCAAGGGAACCAGACCCGGACTAGGGCAGAAGTTGGAGCCAGGAAGATATCAGACAGCCGGTAATGACTGAAGCGGGAGAAAAGTGGGAAAGGACGAAAAAGCAGGCTGCGTGGGCGCGGATCCTGCTTTTTTCCACTGGTACTCCCACATACCCCGCCTCTCAATCCCGCTCCCCGCACCGTGCATTCCCAGACCTCTTCCCGGCTCGGTATGCGACTCTGAACCCATTCTGCAAGGATGGCGTGGCGGCGGCGGGCTCTGAGCCGGCTACGCGGGCTCGCGGACCCAGCTTGCTGCCCCCAGCCTTGTGGGGCTCCCGGAGGAGAGAACGAGCCCTTCCAACAAGGAGCATTCGGGGCCGCGAATCTCATCCTCTACTCCCAACAACCGGTGTGGGGGCCCTTGGTCCCTACGTACCCCACGCGCTCCCCGCACCACCTGGAGGCTGCCTGCTCGGGACCCCTGCCGCCACCTACCAGGCCGGGAGGTGCGGGAAGTGCAGACAGGACGTCGGAGTCCAGCCCGGCTCTAGGATCTACGGAGCGAATGGCAAAGACTCGAAACCCTACACTAGGCGCGAGCGGCAGCTCTAAGGCCACCAAATATCGCCCCGCCCACTGCGCCATTCCCGGCCAATGAGCGCGGGCCGCGACAGCCGCTCCGTTGACCTCACTTCCGGCCCCGCCCCGCCGGGCGGTCCTCAGCGCGGTTAGCGGGAGTTGGGTCCCGCCCAACAAGTGCCGGGGCTCGATCGCCAGGCGCTCTGTCACGGTCAGGTTGGTGGAAGTTAAGTCTGTGTGGGGTCTGCGTCCGACTTAAAGGACGCGTCAGCGGACTGAGGCCCTGACCCCTGCCGTCTGGGTGACTTTCCAGGCGCCCTGACCGAAACTTTTCATAAGCTGATAGTGTTTTTTAAACTGTAGTTGGTAGGATCCGTTTGGTGGGTCACGACTAGCAGTGTTTTTTGTTTCGTTGTTTTTAAAAAAAACTTCTAGGGGCACCTGGCTGGCTCAGTCGGGGAGGAGCACGGGACTCTTGACACCGGGGTTGTGAGTTCAAGCCCCTCTCTGGGTGTGGAGATGACTAAAATAAACTTTATAAAACAAGAAGAAACCTACAGTGCAGTTCTTTAGGACAGAATTCATATGAGTTCTGTGCAGGGTCCATACAGCCAAACCCACGGAGTAAGGGTGGGCTGTCCACTTACAGGCACCCGGGTTGGGGGCGGGAGGCTAGAGGCAGCCGGCTGAGCTGGGAACAGGAAGCAGGCACAGCGGCGGAGAGCAGACGTTAAAAGAACCGCACACGTGGGTATACAAATACGAGCTCTGCGGAGGGGCCACAGAAAGAAACAAGGGACCTGCTTTGGCCAGGGAAGGGCTGAGTTGGAACAGTTCGTTTGAGCCCGCAAGGCAGAGAAGGATTTCAAGGATTCACCTGCTCGGTGTCCTTGCCTGGAAACCGTACCTCTCTCCACCTTGGTGTGAGGTGAGGCAGCAGGGAAAGTGCCTCTCAGAGCACTCAGACCACACCGGTACCAGACACATGGGGTCTCTGCACTTCCAGCCCGGCGGACGGCCTGCAAGGGGTATTTTCTGGGTACAACTGAGGTATCAGGCTGGTGTTCCTTACACGTCAGCAGAGCAGATCCCACCCCTGTCCCTGAGGAGGCCATCCATTCCTTACCGAAGCAACCCACCATCCCACTGGCAGAGTTGTCAGCCCCAGGGAGCCAAGGTAAGTTGAGAGGGAAATGTTTTTTGGAGAGCCCAGAGACATGTGAGTGTATCATTTTATTTCCTGATTCCATTTCAACCAGAGAGTGAATGGCTACAGTTGTCATCCATTTCCCCCAACAAGTCTGCCCTTTCTCTTCTCCAGGTCTCAGTTCTCTTCGTTTCTGGGCCTTCAAGTCAGGAGGATCAGTCTCTGATGTGGGACAGGGATACAGCCACACCTCCCAGGCAACTGGTGGCAAAACATGAGAGGAGAACAGCAGAAAGGTGGAGGCAACCGTGGGAGAACCACACTTCCAGAGCCCAAAAAGGGCAAAAACAGTCACACAAGAACAGAAGAGCTCTTAAGAATAGTGGGCTGGATTCTAAACCTGGGACCCAAACACCTGGACCCGAACTACCTGAGGCAGCTGCTATTCAACAGGGAACATTCTGTACACAAGGGAAAGAGGAGAGAGAGGAGAGCCAGGGATTAGCCAGTGGGGGTGGGGAGGAAGTACCACCAAACAGCACACAGACTGAAGCCTCTCTGGAGCACCACAACCACCCCCAGGGGGCCTCTAGCCACTGCCCACAGCCAGGCTTTCTCCGGTCAGGCATCCAGCACCCCCCATGTTGGGCTGAGGGAAGCACCCCTATCAACTGGGTTTGGCCAATTTTCTCCAAAGCTCTTGGGGAAGGACTAGCTCCTTCCTGAGTTTGATGACGTGGCTTTGGAGACAAACAGGGGTCAAATCCTGATGCTATTACTATGTGATCCTGGGCATGTCATTTAACCCCTCTGGTCTAAGTTACAGCTATGTTAGCACCCCTGGCTTCTGTGAAGATTAGACACAGTACGTATAATGTGCCTGGCCCTTGGTGGGAACTTAGACAGGATAAGTCATTGTCGTTGCTATCACTATTAACTATTCTCACTGACCCACATGCTTTAAAAGTACAGGGCTGTAGACAGTGCACCCCTCTGAAGCACGATGCCGCAGCCTCCCATAGCCTGGGTGACCCTGCCTGGGCCAAGGCTCCCACATGCAGGAAAGGATACAGCATGTCCAGGGGCGGCTGGGCTGAGGAGGCGCTGGGGAAGAGGCCCTCCAAGGAGACCCGCAAGGTCTGGGCCGTGCTCTCATCAGCCAGGAGGCCCGTGCTCTGGACCTGGAGCAAGAAGAGGGCAAGCCTTCTCGGTGCCTGCTCCATCAGGCCCTCTCTACCCTCCACCCTCTGCACTCCTGACCTCCCTCTGGCTGCTGTGGCCAGAAGGCCCATACTCCACAAAGAAGATGGTGTGGAGGGTCTGGCCTTAGAGAGGCTACATGGCAACCCCTTCCGACCCACCTGCAGGAAGAAGCCACGCAGGGCCTGGAGTGTGGTGTTCGACAGGGTAGAGAGGTCAGCCAAAGCTGCGCCTTGCAGAACATGACCCACCTCCTCATGAGAAAGGACACTGCTGCTCTGGAACCGCACAAACTAGACCAAGGAGAGAAGCCCCAAACCCACGGTGGTTTGGTATCTCCTTAATTCACAGACATTTCCTGTGTCCCTGCTGTGACTGGCCCTGGGCTGGGGGCACCGATCTGAAGCCCACAGAACTCTGCCTTCAGGAGCTCAGACTTGGTGGGCAGGGGTGAGGTTGTGTCCAGGAAGGTGGAATAAGTGAGGCAGAGGATGAAACCCTGAGAAAGTTTGCCCTGCTGACCCCTTCAGTACCCTCCCCCTCACCGCCTGGCCTTGCACCTCACACTCATGGTCAAAATGGACTATGGTGGTTTCCAAACACACCATGTGCTCATACCCCTGCTATTTTCACTTCACTACTTGGAATACTTTTCCTCCTCTTTGCCTAATAATCTTTCAAGCCTCAGCTAAAATGTTACCTTCCTACTGAATGTTCTTTTCATTTTATTAGAGAAATACAGGCATTAACTGAGTGCTTACTACATTCTTACTCACCTCTCCCTCCCAGCTCTGGCAGAAACAATTGCAGTGGACCCTTACACAACAGGAGAGTGAAATGCCTGGGTCCACTTATACACAGATAATTTTTGATAAATACTGTACTGTACTTATTATTTTCTTAATAACACTTTCTAGCTTACTTTATTGTAAGAATACAGTATTTAGTACGTATAACATACAAAATATGTGTTCACTGTTTATGTTATCAGTGAGGCTTTCAGTCAACAGTGGGCTATTAGTAGTTAGTTTTTGGGGAGTCAAGTTATATTTGGATTTCCAACTGTACGGGGATCAGCGCCCCGAACCCCCACATTATTCAAGGGTCAGCTGTACTCTTCTGTGTCCCCACACCAACCACTTATTTATTCATTGATCTGCTTTACTATCATTCACAGGTGGACTGCTTTGCTGTTTATTCGGTGGGCGCTTACCACAAGCCAGGCTCTTAGCACATCTACTCTGCCACTAATAACGTCATGTTTTAACTATTAGTTTCCTGTCTATTTCCTTCTCTAAACTGAGAGACCCTTAAAAGGCAGAGCATTTGGCTCAGTAACATCTTTGGTTCCTAGCATAGGATCTGGGTGCAGCAGGCAGGCCCTGGCCAATGATTCATGTGCAAATCAATTAGAAGGAATATCTGGGTCTTTTGGGGTAAGAAGATGTGGGTGTTTGAGGAATTCTCTGAGCAGGCCTCTTGTAGGATGAGGCCCACCCAGCCCCTCTACCTTCCACCCCTCTACCTGGCCTCTTCAGGACCACTCAGCTCATCACATTCTTCAGCCCACAGGACCATCCATTCTGTACTTACCAGGGTCATGAGCCTCAAGATCTCAGGTCTGAGGAAGGAACTCTCTCCAGCATCCAGGAGGGTAAACAGCAAAAACCGATTCCAGGGCTGGGAGACTACATGGAATGCTACAGGAAACACCAGTCACCCTAGGTTGTTACTGCTACTTTTCCATAGACCTTGGAACATTGTGGAAGAGGACTTTCTCTGACTGGCTCAAACAAGGGTTGCCCAGCTAGAGGCAGGGCATTGGACAAACTGACCTGACCACAGGAAGATTTTCTTCCTTGGGCTTCTATCCACCTATGCTACCTGGCTCAGGGAAACAACATGTCCCACTATTGTGTGAAGCAGGCAATAGGAAGGGCTCTGCCATTTAAGAGCTTTTGACCTTGGTTGGGCAAGTTTCTTGATCTCTCTGAACTGTAATGTCCTCATCCATATAATGGGCATGGCAATGCCCCTGCAGTGTTATGAAAACAATGAAACAAAATGAGTGTGAATCAAAGGACAGAGGTTGGAAGTCTGGGACAGGAGGGTGGCAGGGGCTGGCTGCCCCTATGAGAACATCAGAGAATAGGGAGGGTTTCTACCGATGTCTGGGCTCCGGGTCTGCAGGTAGTCAAGCAAGGCTTCCAGGCAGCCAACACAGGCGTAGGACAACACAGGGTCCTTCTGCAAACAAACAAAGCCCCACAGAGGTTCATGTCAGGTTTTGCCACCAATGAGTTTTGGTGTCAATCAGGAAAAGCACATTTGGTTTTCAGAATAATTTGGATTTCAGAATTCCAGATTTGGGATTGTAGCCCTGTAGATAATCAACGAATGTTTGTTGGTTTCATGTCTCACCCACGCACACAGCAGAGCACAGTGCTTATACTGATGATATACCTTTGTGCTGCCTACATTCAAGAGGCTGTTTCAGAAAAGGAGATAAGCCCTGGGCCCCATTAAGAGATTCATAGATTACAGACTCTGTAAGAACCTCACAGTTTATCTAAGCCAGTAAATTTCAACCTTTTTTTAAAGCAGAACCTTTCATCAAACAAAATTTTATGCTCTAAGAAGCATGCCAAAAGATCTCACTGTCATCAGTCATTAGGGGAATGCAAATAGGTA